TGTAGAACTAAAAAAAACAAATAAATTTAAAAGGGGGGTAGACATAGTAGAGTTCAATAAATTGATTTAACATGAAAAAAAAAAAAATGAAAGACTGGAGGCAAACAGCACAAGATTCCATCATGCTTGAGGCCACAGAATCATCAATTGAGAAGACCGGGGATGGGGATGCACAGTGTGTCCCCCACATCCACAACCACAATTCATCAGGATAGTGCTTTTTTTGTATCAGCACAGGGACACCGTGGCTAAAGAGGGACAGCTAAGAACTGATCAAAGGATTGACTATAATACACAGGAAATCCTAAAAGAACAGTTGAATCAATTTTGTCGTTACCTTTAGAAAGTAAACAAATAGTAACATATATCTATGAGCCCTTTAAATCATAGAAAGGTCAACCACAAAAAGGGGGGGGGGTTATATTTCTTCCATCATTTAGGTAAAACAACCTACCTACAATACTTCTGGATACTCCAATGTATGAAAAAAGATAACAAGAGATGTGTGACTCACAATACACAATCCTTCATTTCAAGGCAACCACAGAGGAGCTGGGGAGACACAATGACTAGTTTGTACTGCTCACTGTGGTGGATGCTTCATAAATAGTCTTTTATTATTAATCTCCACATTAAAGCTACAACCTGTTCATTATTATCCAAAGTTTAAAAATGATGAGCTAGACTCATACAGGATAAATAACTTGGTCAGGGTCACAAAATAGGAATATCAAAGCTAGAATTTGAAATCAAATCTTGTTGCTACAGCATCTACACCTTGTATTTTACCCTACCCAAATGATTCTCAATGAGAGGGAATTTAGCTCCCCAGGGAACATTTGACAAAATTCAGAGGTATCTATGGTATAGACATCAGGGACGCTGCAATGTACAGGACAGGCCTCCCCAGCTAAGAATTATACAGTCCAAAATGTCAATAGTGCCAGGATTGAGAAGACTTGGAAATAAGGTAAAGGACTCAGTGTGGGCTGTAGGTGTCCCAGGGAGGGAAGAAATAACACTGTTACCTGGGGTGGTAAGAGGCGTTTGTCACAGAGGATTTTGGTTAAGCCTTAGGAATGTGTGTAGAAAACAAAAAGGATGGTACTACTTTCAGCAGCTTAGAACAATAGAAATAAAAATACAGAGATAATAAATAGTAACATGTGCCCAGCGTGGGGGCGCATGCCTGAATCCCAGCAGCTTGGGAGGCTGAGGTGAGGCAGGAAGATCACGAATTCAAAGCTAGCCTCAGCAATTTAGCGAGACCCTAAGCAAGTGAGACCCTACAAAATAGGGCTGGGGATGTAGATCAGTGGTTGAGTGCCCCCGAGTTCAATCCCCAGTTAAAAAAAAAAAAAAAAGCAAGATATATTAAGGGGTCAAGATGATCATCATTAAGTAGTTTTCATAAACTAACTACAAAATGAAACAAGCAAAAACTTATGAATAAAAATTCTGTTGGTACATCTTTGAATATTCATAAGCTCCAGGAAGGAAACTGTGTACCTGAAAGATATAAATTACTGTTTGTGAGAGCAAATATGAGATGACACCAGATGGCAGAGAACCTTTAAACAGGTTCTCTGGAAAAAGTGGTTCAACTTCTATTTAACACAGGCCTGGTAAAATTCCAAACATATAATATACTGCTTGGCCAAAAAATGGTGAACACTTGAGCTCTGGCGCCGGACTCTCTGGGTTTCCATTTCTGCTACCTGCTACTTTTTAAATAACATCCCAACTAGGGACAAATTACTTTGCCTTTCTATGCTTGTTTACTCGTCCATAAAATCAGGAAAATAACACCTATTTTGAGCACTATTGTGAGGATTTAGTAAATTAAATCACATCAAGTACTCACAACTATGCCTAGCACATACTAAGCAATGAATAAATATTTGCTAATATTAATAGTAGAGTCTCTTTACATCTTCTCTTTACAATAATCTAAGGAGGAAGGTATCATTATTACTGAATTATTCCCACTTTATTCATCAAATTTCAGCTTGAGGAGCATTGTGGACAAAGTTCTTTGGCTCAAGTGGGATATATCTGACTCCAAATCCAAGCTATTAATCACTATATACTGCTTCATAAGTTTGAACAAACTTTAGGCAATGGAAGCCACGAAAGGTTTACAATTGGGGAATATACACTATTAAAGCAAGGCTTGCTTTTCAGAAGGTCCTGGCAATGGAAAGGAAAACAATATAGAACAAGATGGGCTGTATGCTGGGAGAGCAGAGGCCTACGAAAGGTACTGGCAGGAGGTGATAAATTTTCACTGATGATGATGGCACTGAAAATACAAAGAACATCAAAAGTAAAAGGCATGAGCACAGCAGAGTTCAATGGCTGTGTACCTGGTGATGCAATGCAAGTGACAGAGCAACAAGGGTGACTGAAAGATAGTCAGAAACACCTGACTTCTAAGGTAAAAAAGGTTAATAGTGAAAGAATATTAAGAAATTGCCCTAACTTGCCTTTTTCTGAGAAATTAACAAAACAAAACAAAAAACTGTGAGGTTCATCAATAAAGGATCTTCCTACTACTACCAGGAGTCAGAAATACTGAAAACAGAAGCTGAATTGGGATAACGAAGGGAAACACAGATATTCAGAGTACTAACAAAGAGATGTAACAATTTATTACACTGAATATTCTAAGTAAGCTTTAAGAAAAAAAAAATCCAGATTCCATAATATTTTTCTTAAATAAAGATGGGTTCACACACACCCTAAAACAGATGAATTCCATTAATAAGGCATATAGAACAAAGTGAAATCTATGTGACAAAATCAAAATTTTTCTGGATCAATGACAAACACCACAATAGCTCTTCCTCAGTTGCTACAAAGATAAGGACATGTGAGATCGGTGAGGATAACAGTCATTAAATCAACTGTTTATACAGCAATTATACACAAAAGTTCCATGCAACTCGCAGAACTTCACTTTAGACTTACAGACTTCTTCACTTGCTAAGAATGACCAGATTTTGCTTTCCCATTCTGGTATATAAAATGAACACCAATGATTCACCTGCAGATTCCCCTTCTTACACTGCCAAGCCTGCTGGAGGGATGGGATCAACCACTATGGTAGTATCAAACATTTTTGAAAGTATAGGGTTCTGGGAGATGATGGAACCTGTGTGATATGTATGCAGAAAGCCATTTCTGGAATTATTTATTGTTTATTAGAATATGCAAATCCTTTAACCTTTAATGATTTAATCAGAAATAATTACAAAAGTCTTACCAAGATTTAATGTAAATTTTTAAAAGAGTTGCCACTAAAAGTTAACGAATGCCTGAGTGTCATTGAGGGATAGAATGACTCTAATTAACATTAATTTCACTCTCACTGTATAGCCTCCTCCACATTAAAGAGAAATTATTCATTCATTTGAGATATTAGCCTATGTTAAATGAATGAAATGATACTACCTGGAATCTAAAAGGGAATAGATATATTATTTAATAAAAGTCACAAAATTTACAAAGCCATGCATACATCCCTACCATATTATGTAGAAGTATCTTAGCCCAACTGAGACAAACTAATGCAAAAAACCTTTCCCTTTCCAACCCTTCCTCCTCTCAAATAACACCTGTAATCTGGAAAGTAACTTGCCAATCTTCAGCACAAAAGTTAAAGATAAGTGGGGAGATAAATACAGAGGCAGGCTAAACAAAATTTTTCACACAATTCAAGAGCAAACTCTAGGATGTTTTTAACATACAAATTTAAGCTTCAAAATTTTTATACAATAGGCTTAGAAACCTACTCATGAGCCTAAATGCAAACATAAACTATCTAAGGAAGGTTCTATTTTAGGTACCTATCTCTTGAATTCACAAAACTTTCTGAATAATTATGATTCTTTTCCTATTTAGGAATTTGGGACTGAGGCAAGTATTTGAGGCCTGGAACCCATGGGTAGGCCTAGCTCAAGCTCTGGGCCTAGTGATAGACACATAGCCCCCTTCTCAAGTAAACATGCATCTCCTTGATATATTACTCTGCAGAATCATTCACGGTAAATTTCCATTACATCATAACAGATAATCCAGGATAAGTCTCAACTGCAATTTTCCTAATTTAGAAAGTATGATCAATGAATAGAAAGCAGACTTATACATTCTATGCAAAAAAGTGAATCAGGTAAACACTGCTAATTAGGACATCTTCTGATTATTACACAATTTCATTATGCAGTATTTCCAATATGACTTAAACTCAATTGGACTGAAGTATCTCAATACAACTGAAATAAGTTAATGCAGAGCCTTTCTCTCTCCGGGCCCTCTTCTCATGACCCATGTATTCTTTTCCCTAACTTTTTGAACTCCTGTTGAGGTATAATTAACAATGAAAACTGAATACATTTCCTGTGTAATACATGTTTTCACACATGTATATATTGTGTTATAAATAATTATACATGAATTAATAAACTTATTTATCCATTATTCTCAGTTATCTTTCTGTGTGGAGAAAATACTTAGGATAAATTCTTTGCATAAATTTCATGTATACAAAACAGTATTGCTAATTACAGTCACCACTGTAAATCAGATCCCCAAAACGTATTCCCCTTATAACTTTGAGTCTGAAAACTACTCAAGTTAATTTTTGATTTTTCACTCCATTCAAGGATAGTTAGAAATAGTAAATGAACCCAATAAATTACTTGTTCTAAATTATTTTGTAAGGACCTAAATGGAATGTTTTGAGTAAGTATATTGCATACAATAATCTCTGATTATATTGTATCACTATATGAGAGGACTGATATATAAGAAATGTATGCCCAATATTTATATACTGCTTTCTTTACAACACAGCATGGAATATCATTAAATAAATATAAAACTGATTTCACAAGTGTTTTCAAAATGTTATTCATTCATTCACTCTTTCAAAACAAATATCTGTGTGGAACAGATAAACAAGTGGGGATTAGAGATGGAGGCATCCTCAGAGGCCTCACCTGTCGAATGATACTCTTCACACAACGCACTGGGAGGCCTTGATAGTTGGACTTGATGATCCACTTGAGGAGGTGGTGACCAAGCACTTCAAAGACCATGCAGACATCTGGGACATGGTTAAGGATCGTTTGTGGATGCATTTCCTGGAATATGGCAATTAGTGAAAAGGAAAAGCAGAAGCAACAGCATTCTGTCATTTACAACACAGTTATTTGCTCATAAAACACCACAATAATAGTATCTGTAATACCAAAAGCGGTCAGTTGAGGTTTCTTACCTAAATAAAGAGAAGTGGTAATATTTATTATGTGCCATACATTGTTCAATATGTACTTTACACCACCTCAGGAAATATATAATTGCCCCCACTGTGGAAATGAAGATATGTGTCTCGGTACAAAGGTGGCCAAAGCAGATTCTAGCCCAACCTTCATGGTACTCTCCTGGCCCCATACTATTCTCTCAGCACGTACAGAGGAAGAAGAAAATGGGTCAGACTGAAACCTCACAAGAACTGATGTGGAAAAAACAGAATTGCAGGGCCCTAAGAGTCCTAATTGCCTGCCTAAACCTCTAATGAAGGAGGCCACAAATAATACATTATCAAATAGAAATTTACCAAACACCAGGTGCAGTGCACATGCCTGTAATCCCAGAGCTTGGGAGGCTGAGGCAGGAGGATCAAAGCCAGCCTTAGCAACATAGCGAGATCCTGTCTCAAAATAAAATATTAAAAAGGGACTGGGATGTGGTTCAGTGGTTAAGTGCCCCTGGGTTTAATCACTAGTATTAAAAGAGAGAGAGAGAGAGAGAGAGCGCTATTTAATCTTTTTCTTCAAAAATATCTTTCATTGCATAACCAGATCCATTTAAAAACTATAGGTAGCTGTTAAGAATGTATGATTACAATTTAAGATAGAGTATTAGGACCATTCTGCAATAATGAAAACTCAGAAATCAGAAGCCCTTCAAATTTTTTAAAAACCACTTAACAGAGATAGGACTGACATATAAAAAGTTGTATATATTTAATATGCACATCTTAATGTGATTACAGATCAGTATACACCTAGGAAAACATGACCACTAAGATAATAAAGGTATACAAAGGAATTGAAATCAAGATCTCACACAGGTATCTGCAGTCCTATGACTACTGCAGCACCACTCACAACAGCCAAGATATGGAACAGCCTACATGTCCAATGATGGATGACTGGATAAAGAAGATAGGGCACATACAACGAAACATTCCTCAACCACTCCAACAAGTGGATTTTGAAAATCAGAGTTTCTACTGACCCTCCAAAACTATCACCCACCAATTTCCCATAGAGTATCTTCATGCCATTTATATGAGAAGGTTTTAAACTGCCCTAAAACCCTTTGAGAATATTTTGATCATCATTGGAGGCTTACAGTAGGCTTCATTATTTAAAAAATAAAATAAGTTAGCTGGGCACGGAGGTACACGCTGTCATCCCAGAGGCTCAGAAGGCTAAGATAGGAGGATTCCAAGTTCAAAGCAAAAGTGAGGCACTAAGCAACTCAGTGAGACCTTGTCTCTAAATAAAATACAAAATAGGGCTGGGGATGTGGCTCAATAGTTGAATTCAATCCCTGATACAAAAAAAAAAAAGATAAGCTGATTTAATAATTTTATACGATCAACCATATGATCATAATAGCTATTAATTATTTTCAGTGAAAAGAAGAAAAATGTTTTCTTCTCTTGAAGAACTTATGCACTACAGACATATGCAAAGATGATCTAAAGCCAGCATTTCTTACTAGTTCCCAGTCTTATTACAAAAATGACAAACGAAGAATTAAAGTTAGTAGCAGACATATGACCCAAGTCTTCTCAAAGCATTGGTAATACATAATGATTTCTTAGCATTTTATTTAACACTAAACATAGCCAATTTTCCTTTCTAAAGGAAAATTCTATTTACCTACAAATCAGGTAGTTTCTCCAAAGAAACCCTCTCCCTGTTTGTGGTCTCAGACCTTATGGGTCTGGCACAGAGTAAGCTGCTATCGTGCCCTTAAACAAACAGGCTAAAGCAGGGACAAAGAAATCCAGCACTACTTACCCACCTAGTTACTAGAAAAAAAAGAAGTATTTAGGAGAAATGGTCTTGAGGCAAAGGCTGAGCTAACATCAGCAGTTTTTTCTACTTTCCAGTATCTGAATCCAGTTTCTATAAATAAACAAAGGTTTACTCCAGCACATAGAGTGACAAAGTACTCCCTTACAGGATCATGACTAAGTAGATGCAGACACCAATGTCATTCTGGGATTTAAGCAGGGAGATGACCTGTGCCTGAAACTTCTGGAGCTTGAAAATATCAAGTAACAATTTACCAGATCTATTCAAATACAATGTAAATGAAAGAGCAAAAGATCTGACATGAGAAGACCTTAGCTCTGATGTACCCTATAGGACTCATCAGATGTACTCTAATTGAACATCAGGAAATGAAAGCATCATCCACCAAAATTACGCAAAGGGCATCTCAGAGGATCCAACATGAAAATAAGGACTAAGTCTTCTGGAAACAACACGAATTATCTCCTCTCCATTGTGCTCTCATCTTTGAGCTACATGCTTTGGGAAACTTTGCTCTGTGTCATTTGCCTGCAGGGCTGCCTTTTCCCCAAATTACCAGGCAAAGGGAGAGGGAAGATAAACCAGCATCTCCTTTCCACAATTCCAATCACTTAATCCTAGATCCCTCAAAACTAACAGGTACTTGAACAACTGCCATTCTCACAAGAGAAAGAGAAATCATGCTTGGCTTAGCTCTGTCTTCTGGATGTACACATTTATTTTCTAACAGGATCTAGAATGAGAATGAAGGCCATCCTTTCTAAAAGGCAATCAGGAGCTAAAGAAGAAACTATTTCATCTTTCAAGAACAATACTTTCTACCAGGATAATTTCTTTTGGAGAAAGCAGATATTCTTGTAGTATTTCCCAAGAAAGAGAGAAGAACTATAAACTAAACAAGTTAATCTTAAATTACACAACTCAATTAAGTGGGTGAAAACTTAAAAGAACAATAACTTAAGATAAAATAACCTTGTCTCTGGAAGTGTGATTCAAGTCTTTTTTTAAAAAATATTTTTTGTAGAAGATGGACACAATACCTTTATTTTATTTTATTTTATTTTTAATTTTTTATTGTTGGCTGTTCAAAACATTACATAGTTCTTGATATATCATATTTCACAATTTGATTCAAGTGGGTTATGAGCTCCCATTTTTACCCGATATACAGATTGCAGAATCACATCAGTTACACATCCATTGATTTAAATATTGCCATACTAGTGTCTGTTGTATTCTGCTGTCTTTCCTATCCTCTACTATCCCCCCTCCCCTCCCCTCCCCTCCCCTCTTCTCTCTCTGCCCCCTCTACTGACATTCGTTTGTCCCCCTTGTATTATTTTTCCCCTTCCCCTCACTTCCTCTTGTATGTACTTTTGTATAACTCTGAGGGTCTCCTTCCATTTCCATGCATTTTCCCTTCTCTCTCCCTTTCCCTCCCACCTCTCATCCCTGTTTAATGTTAATCTTCTTCTCATGCTCTCCGACCCTACTCTGTTCTTAGTTACTCTCCTTATATCAAAGAAGACATTTGGCATTTGTTTTTTAGGGATTGGCTAGCTTCACTTAGCATAATCTGCTCTAATGCCATCCATTTCCCTGTAAATTCTATGATTTTGTCATTTTTTAATGCAGAGTAATACTCCATATTTATATGGTGCTGAGGATCGAACTTACATGTGCTAGGCAAGCACTCTTACCAACTGAACTATAGCCCCAGCCCCTGCTACTGCTATTTTTAATTTAAAATGTACTTACTTTATTTGTGGTCTAGTGAAGGTCTTTTAAAAAGTCATTTTTGAGGGCTGGGGGTTGTGACTCAGAGGTAGAGCATTTGCCTAGCATGTGTGAAGCACTGGGTTTGATCCTCAGCACCACATAAAAATAAAATAAAGGTATTGTGTCCACCTACAATTAAAAAATAGATGTTTAAGGGGAAAAAAAAAAAAAGTCATTACAGGCACATGCCTGTAATCCCAGTGGCTCAGGAAGCTGAGGCTGAGGCTGAGGCAGGAGGATCACGAATTCAAAGCCAGACTCTGCAAAAGTGAGGCACTAAGCAAATTCAGTGAGACCCTGTCTCTAGATAAAATGCAAAATATAGTTGGACATGGGGCTCAATGGTGGAGTGCCCCTGAGTTCAATCCCAGGTACCTTAAAAAAAAAAAAAAGTCATTTTTGCACATGGTGGTGCATGCCTACAATCCTAGCAACTCAGGAGACAGAGGCAGAAGGATGGCAGGTTTGAGGTCAACTATAGCAATTTAACGAGAATTTAAGCAACTCAAAGAGACTGTGTCTCAAAATAAAAAGGCTGAAGATGTGGCTCAGTGGGTAAGCACCCCTGGGTTCAACCCTAGGTACAAAAAAAAAGTCATTTTTGCCATACCAAGAAAATTTGAATGAATTTTATTCAGTGAGTTTTATGGTCATGTTTAAAAAACCAATCCACATATTTTTACAAACTGCAACACTGACATTTATGTAGGTTAAAAAAAAAAAACAAAAAACATGACTTCTAGGATTTGTTTTAAAATAATTCAGCAAGAGAGAAATGCTAGATGAAGAAATTAGGGCCAGACCTTAACAAACATTGAATCTGTGTAATGGATTTTCAGAAACTCACTGTACTACACTCTCTGCTTTTATGTATGTTTAAAATTCTTCATAATTAAAGCTTTAATAGAAAAACACTGGAGATCTAGTCCATTTACCAATTACTACAGAAAATGTTATCACTTTCCTTTTACCAGGCTTTTGTAAAGCAGACAAACTGGAGGGAAAAGAAAGAAAATCAGGGGCTCAGGATGTAGCTCAGTGCTAGAGTGCCTGCCTACTATGCAGGAAGCCCAAAGTTCAATCCCCAGAACTTGAAAACCAAATACACACATCAAAAATAAAAAATATCAGATCTTCCACGTTCACCAGCAGGAAGTATACTCTGCAGGAAGAACTAATTTAAAGTCTCAGCTGTATCATCCTAGAAACAGAATTCAGAGTTATTAGGACTATACAATATCAATATCACTTGAATGCAACTTTGGGATATCAGCATTAAAGTAGCATTTTTCCTCTTACTGCATAATAAGCAAATACATTTCAGCCTCATGCAGTACTCTGTAGCTATTGGAGCACACATACATGCCCCCTGTACACTGATTTTAAAAGGTTTAAAGCACAAAGAAGTGCTGGCACACACTTCCACCAACCACTGCAAAAACAAAGTTCACCACAATTACTGAAGAAGAAATAAAACAAAACAAATTCTATTAAAAAACCAGGCCAAGTTTTGCTATTTCTTTTTTTCACTGTCAAAGACACTATTATATCAAAACCACTAACAGACCACACTAGATGTACTACTTATTAGACTTCGCGATAATCTTAGAGGCCTAATGTGGAGGGATGCAACAGAAACAAGTATACAAAAACTTAAAATAATCTTTTTTTTTTTTTAAGTAAGAAGAAAAAAAGTACATTATAATTCAGTCATCAAAAAGCAAAGGATAGGGGGTTGGGGTTGTGGCTCAGTGGTAGAGCATTGCCTAGCATGTATGAGGCACTGGGTTTGATTCTCAGAACCACATATAAATAAATAAAATAAAGATCCATTGACAACTAAACAATATTAAAAAAAAAAAAAAAAGGAAAGGATAGGGCTGGGGCTGTGGCTCAGTGGTAGAGTGGTTGTCTAGCATGTATGAGGCCCTGGGTTTGAGTATCAGCACCACATATAAATAAATAAAATAAAGGTCCCTTTACAACTGGGGGGTGGAGGGGAGAGCAAAGCATAGAGCTGGGAGCAGTGGCACATGCCTGTAATCCCAGTGGCTCAGGAGGCCAAGGCAGGAGGATTGCAAGTTCAAATCTAGCCTCTGTATAAAAGTGAGGCGGCTGAGCAATTCAGTGAGACCCTGCCCCTAAATAAAAAACGAAATAGGGTTGGGGATGTGACTCAGTGGTCAAGTGCTCCTGAGTTCAATCCCCACGCCCAGAAAAAGCAAAGGATACGTATCCCATTCATGCCTGATATCTTGAAGTCATCAATGAGCTGGACCACCATGTCTTTGTTTGGGTCACTAGGATCACTTTCTCGAACCTATGTAAAGAAAAATGGACACAAAAACAGGAGTTTGAAGTGGAGAATTTTTTCCATTAGGCCAACCAACAAAGTGATATTTTTCAAATAAAAGATTTGATACTGGAACTAACAACAACAACAACAAAAAAAAACAGATTCTACTTCAATTTAGTATCACCAAGAAGAATCCCTTAAGTAAAATTTGTCATTTATTTTTCTTACATTATTCACATTTTTCCAGTACTTACACATTTGAGCAATTTTATTTCATCCAAGGCTGTCTCTGTATAATGCTGGGCACTTTTTACAACTTTCATTGCAACAAATCTTTTCCCCCTTAAAAAAAAAAAAAAGCATAGTAATTTATATTATCAGCATAAAAGGTGATGATTACAACAACATCTATCCAATAGAGAGGCTTCTGATAAGTTTTCTTCTAAAATGGTATTTTGCAAATTTGGGGGCCACAATTAATAGGGCATCCATGCATTAAAGACAATTTCTTTCATGCTTTTCTTGTCTTTTTCTTAACTAAAATTGAATAGACCAGGAAAACGTCAGAGTTATCTATCACACAATAAGGAAAAGTATTCCTGTGACTCTTGTTTCAGTTCATATACACACACAAATACACGTGTATATGACTTGAGCAGCAATTAAGTTTCTTACTATTGATCATGGCTGGCGTGCGCGCATTCATATTCTCATTCTCTCTCTCTCTCTCTTTTGTACTGTGGATTGAATCCAGAGGCACTTTACCACTAAGCTATGTGCCCAAACATTTTAATTTTTATTTTGAGAAAGGGTCTCCCTAAGATGCCTAGACTGGCCTTGAACTTGAAATCCTCCTGCCTCAGCTTCCAGAGTTGGTGGGATTACAGGTATGTACTACAGCATCCAGCTGGATCATGGCTTTTAATTTTTAATTACTTAATTTTTGTTTAATGTCACAAAAACTAATTTGAAAAGCCTACACATTATTAATTTTACATCTGAATGCTTTCTGATATGGATAATTTACTAGAAAAGTAACATGCCCCTGATGAAAAGCAATTTTGTGGAAAAAGCTTTAAAAATAGAGAAGAAAGCTGGTATTTTCAAATACTTAACTTCATAATAAGAAAAAAAATCTAGCTAGCTGAGGTTACTTGCCTGTTACATGCTATAACATAGTAAGAATAACGTCAGCTATATCTTCTTAGGAAACGGATATTGAACTAGACCAGGAATCAAGTGCAAAAATGACAAAGAGCACTTACTGCATATCCCAGCACAGCCAGACAGTGGAGAAGTGCCCCCATCCTAGCTTTCTAATAACATGATACCGACCATTGAAGAGGTCTCCAATTTTCACCGGATGATAGCCACCTTAAAAGAAAAGAAAAGAAAATTCAGAATTCCAGGAAAATAGTACTATTTTCATTTCTTCATCAATTCTGGATGTCAAGAATGACAGGTCTGAAATAACAGCATCATTAAAATTTTTAAATTCATTTTTTTCAGGATTATCTTCCAACATCAGAAAAGTATCCTGTGAATTCCCATTAGGCTTTTAGCTAATTTTAATAAGAATTTTGAAGGGCAACAAATCATCCAGTACTCCCTAATAATAATAATTGAGGTTTTGTTTTTAAGTCAATGTATGTACATGTACACACCAATTCTTGACATTTATAAATGACTTTTCTTCTAAGTTATAAATTACACTCAATTATTTTTGCATCTGAACAAAGTTCAGGAAATTAAAGGATGTTTACTCTGCATAAATTTGTATACACCAACCATTTGCCTATATCCAATAAGTAATGGTATAACATACATCTTAATTTACCCTCCAAATGGCTTGTTCCTCTTATCACTCTTCCTCCAACCTGAAACTTTTGCATGGAAAAACATTCTTTAGAAATGAGGAAATCAATTGGCAAAGCAAGACTGGTACCCTATTTTCAGTGAACTTTTAGGGGAGGGAAGGGTGCCTCACTGACATCTGGCATAGAAAGTCCTTCACTCTGAATTTCTAAGTATAGGAAGTAGACTACAAAACAGAATTATAATATGGCATCAATTCCACGAAACATATAAAGAGCAATCTAAAAGGATGTTAACATTACCCCTTGTTATAACATTACCCCTTGATATAAAATTAATTTTATTCTCTTTATCTACAGTTTAATCATCTTGTTTCCAAAACAAACATTGCTCTTTTAGTCTTAAATTTGATTTTTACTATGAAAACATTAATGTTCTCATATTCATATTCTCTCCTCCCTCTCTCCCACACAATTTCTTCTTTTATTTTTGGCAGTGTTAGGGATAGAACCCAGGGCCCTATGCATGCTAGGCAAGCATTCCATCACTGACCTACACCCCCAGCAGTGATTTTTTATTTTTTTTAGTATGCAGAATTCCCAAATCACTCAAGAAAGATATGAATGGTTCGTGCCTAGTGCTGAGAGGCCGAAACAGGTGCAGCAAGTATGTAAACTACATTTTTCAATAAATATTTGTGAACTCCCAGAGGGCTCTGAGTTACAATTCAATAAATACTATTAATATTTTAAAAGTGGCAAATTAATCAAGCAGGAATTTGAACAGACACTGAATTTCTAAGATTCTTACTGCTATGAACATTGTATTTGCTTTTCCTGGATTTTAACATCAAAATCTGTAACAACACTGTAAACTAGAACTATGAACTATGACATTAAGTCAGGAATAAAACAGAGCAAATTATCAAATAGCTTATTACTTAATTTTTGTTTAATTCTCTAAGTAATTGAAAGATATGGTCTCTGGATTTCTAGTACAGTTTTTAAACCATTAAAATTAAGAACTCAAAAGAAGAAAACGCTTATCAAGTATCAATTAGAAAAGGAACATTGTACTAGGCACTTTATTTTGAAATCTGTGTTCCAAGAAACAAAAGTGATTTATGATATATTACAACTGTTCCACACGGGGGGGGGGGGGGGGGGAGGGAAGGAAGGAAAGAAGGAAGGAAGGAGTTAGGAAATGAAAAGTTAAACAAAGCAAAGCAGATTTTTTTTCACCACAGGCCTAATGTCTTAACATGCTTTGTGAACCTCTAAGAGCACAGGGCACATATTGCACATGCTACATGTTCCATACATATTTTCTCAGGAAATGACTTCCAGTTAACAAGCTTTTTGGAACATGGTATTGCAGGAAACAGTGATGTCTATCTTGCTCAATCCTTACATTCACCCTGCAAACTAGATGGTATTCTTTCCACATTGCTGCAGAAGGCACCAAATGTCAGAGATATTAAGCACTAAGTTGGACACAAGGTGGGAAAAAAGGCAATTCCAAAGCCCATGGTTTTTTGCCCCTAGTAAGAAAGACACTCCATGTTTTAATAACTGGATGACTGTTTTCTAGACCTGATACACAGGGAACACTGAATGGCTTACTTAAAAAACCACACAGTAATTGGCTGGGGTTGTGGCTCAGCGGTAGAGCACTCATCTAGCACGTGTGAGCCCTAAGTCTGATCCTCAGCATCACATTAAAAATAAATAAATAAATAAAGGTATTGTGTCCAACTACAACTAAAAAAATAAATATTAAAAAAACTAATAAGTACTAAAGTACTTATTACTGCTAACATTAACATCGAGACTTGAAAATAAGTTAATTATTTTATAATTTATATTTTTTTCTGGATACAAATTAAATTTATTACATAAATTCTATGTACTAGAGCTGAGCAGTAGTAGAACTGAGTAGTTAAAAGCAACGTAATTTTATTATTTATAACGTAATTTTATTTATTTATTTATTTTTGATGCTGACTTTTATATTTATTTATTTATTTTTTAATTTTTATTATTAGTTGTTCAAAACATTACATATAGTAGAGGATAGGAAAGGCAACAGAATACAACAGACACTAGTATGGCAGTATGTAAAAACGTGGATGTGTAACCGATGTGATTCTGCAATCTGTTTACGGGGTAAAAAATGGGAGTTCATAATCCACCTGAATCAAATGTATGAAATATAATTTATAAGTTAATTGTGCATAAAGAGAAGAAAGCTCTGTCACTAGTATGTTTCAGATTCAAGTTCTCAAATAGCCAGTGTGTTCTTGTGAGCAAAAAAAAAAAAAACCCAGAAAAGGCACCATCTCCACTGTAATCACTGCAGAAGTGCAGCAGCATCTTTTCTCTATGGGATCTCAAAGTTGAACAAAAACAAATTACTAGTTCAGTCCAGTATCTCTGGAGCCCACAGGCAGCTAAAATACTGTCTCTAAAAATAGGCCAACCAAACAAGAAGAACACAGAAGTAATGCTTAAACACAAAGATATAAAATGAATGAAAGTACAAAAACATTTAGTTGACTTTTAATTTTGAAAATATGACATATATATTATCAGATCTATATATTATATATTCTCATATCCAACTCCTTGATTTCTATAGAAATCAAGACTCTCTCATGACCATTCAACTCTCACTCCCTTGTCACAGAATGATAATCTTTTTTTTTTTTAAAGATAGAGAGGAGAGAGGAGAGAGAGAGAGAGAGAGAGAGAGAGAGAGAGAGAATTTTTTTTTAATATTTATTTTTTAGTTTTTGGCGGACACAACATCTTTGTTTGTATGTGGTGCTGAGGATCGAACCCGGGCCGCACGCATGCCAGGTGAGCACGCTACCACTTGAGCCACATCCCCAGCCCACAGAATGATAATCTTGCCAACAGGGCATCTATTCTACCTAATAAAAACTATGCTATGAGAAGAGAGGAAGTATGTCCCCACACAGCAGACCCACACCAACCCAACCAACACCTGGGGAATTCAAGAAAATGGACACTCCAGTAATTCCATCAGAAACTCCTCCAGTTCCCTGTGTTATAACAGCCACCAGCAGCCATGTCATTGCCTACTGCATTGTCTAGCACATAAGGAATCTTAACAGTCAAACTGGACAAAGACCCCAATCACTCTTTGGTTCCTTTTGCTGTTTCATCAACTGACAGAAAAGGAATATAGGAAAACAACAGTGCTACGCACAGACTCTGCTAATGGCATGAAGCAGAGTACCAGAAATGCTCAAATACTTGATGATTACATGACTCAAAGGTTTGATTGATTCATCTGTATTACATTATTATATTGTTTAATGTGACATTTATCACAAGTTTTCCTCTTCTTAAAAACAAATCTTAGTTTGAATTATAAACACAAAGAAAACAAAATACACTGTTAAAAGTATCATTAATTTCATTGCTCTGTTTTTTTTCTAATCTAATCCCTCCAGTGCACCCAAGAAAACAATAACTAAAGCTTTACCTATATATACGTAGTAATAAGACTCCAAAGAAGACAATTCTAAAACTTACCTTCTTAGCTATTTTGGGAGACTTGCTGGCCAAAGATAAAGACAATTCCCTTTTCTTTGCAAAAAATATATTCTATTTATTTCTTTATTTTTTTTAAATTTTTTATTGTTGGTTGTTCAAAACATTACATAGTTCTTGATATATCATACTTCACACTTTGATTCAAGTGGGTTATGAACTCCCATTTTTACCCCGCAAAAAATATATTCTATTTATAATAGTAAATCAGAAGTTTAGAATTCCATAATAGACAGTAGTATGCAAGGATTTTCAGAAGTCTATTTTTCTACTAAAAATATTATTTATTTTTATGCTGACACGGTTTCTCAGCCTTCCAATTGTAGGGTGTCTTTAGATAACCACTGAAAACTTTCTAAGGGCTAAGGAAGGATTTCAAAAATCAACCCTAACACACAAGTCTTATTAAAAACGGATGGTGAAAAAAACCTTGCTTATAGTAAGGTAATGGACATATTCTGTGTCACTTAAGATTTTAATATTCCTCCTCAAAAGTATACAAAAAAAACAGTAGGGATATGAAAGATTTGAACACACTACCAACCAACTTGAAATTTATAGAACCTAACTGACATTTATAGTACACTATACTCAATAACAAACACTTCTCTCAAGTGCATACAGAATATTCAGATAACATATTGGGCCATGAAACAAGACACAAAAACAGTGTTCTCAGTCCATATAGAACTAAGTTAGAAAGCAATGAGAAAATTAACCAAAATTTGGAAACTTATTCAAAATAATTCATGGGAAAAAGAAAAAAAATCATAAAATATTTTTTCACAAAATGACAATGAAAACTCAACATATGTCAATCTGCGAAACACTGCTAAGGCAGTACTCAGAGGGAAAATTATAGCATTAAATGCCTACAATAGAAAAGAAAAGCCAGGCATGGTGGTACACACCTGTAATTCCAGTGACCCAGGAGGCTAAGGCAGGAGGGTCACAAGTTTGAGGTCAGCCTCAGAAACTTCA